ATCATGACCTGAGCAGAAGGCAGACACTTAACCAACTGAGCCACCCAGGCGCCCCCCCCCCTTTTTTTTTAAGCACTGAGCTGACTCCCAAGGAGAAAAGTCCTCCTTCCTAGAAATGCTCAGAAAGCCAAAGCTATTCTTGCCAGGCATAGTGCAGGGGAGGCTTAGACAAGCAGGTGAGAGGCCAAATCACCTGACCCCAGTACCCCTTCCGACTCAGAGAATTTATGATTCTTTCAATGAAGGGCAAGAAAGAAAGAATCCAGTGAGAATACAGGTTAAAATTCATTCATTCATGGGTTGTTCAGCAAACATTTTTCAGTGCCTCCTATGGACCAGGCACTCTGCTGGGCACAGCAGGGGTGAGCAAGACAGCAGTGGTGTGTGCTTTGAGAGAGGTACACTTTACCCAAGATACAGTTCAGGGACACAGATCCCAATCTGAGGCCTTTTCAATGCTTTTTTCTTCTTCCAGAAAACCAAAGAAAATCCTGGCCCACTTCATTCTATGCATCCTGGGTATCTGGTGATTACTAGTCACACAAAGCTCTTCACCCCCCGCAGTGCTTACGGTGCCCTCCATAGGGAGGTGATCTGAGTGGCTGGTTTCCTCCCATCTTTCAGTATCGGCTTTAAGTTGGTTCCTCGAAGAGGCCATCCCTGACCCCACTCTCCTAGTTTCTTTCCATAATACCCTATTTCTTTCTTTCACGGCACTTATCACAACTGCCATTATTTTGCTTATTGTCTATCTCCTCTATGAAACCTTCTCTGTCTTATTCACTATTACGTCTGTAACACCCATCACCTGTCTACACAGGGGTAGGAACTCTAAATATTGAATTACAAACCAATGTGGATTAAACCTTCCACATAAACCTTCTCTGGTGCACCATCACAAACATTCCCAAAGCCGGGATACCTCGCCTCTCACCCACAACATTTAGCAGCCACTCATTTCCCCATGGCTTTATCTTCACAGCTGAGCTTTCAGCAACCCCATCTCCAAAGGACTCAGAAACACCCCAGTGCACTGTGAATGCAGATAAAAGCGCCCATGTGGGAAGAGAGAGGCAGTTTTAAAAATGTAATTATGGACACCTGCGTGGCTCAGTCGGCTAAGCGTCTGCCTTGAGCTCAGGTCATGATCCCAGAGTCCCAGGACCGAGTCCCGCATGGGGCTCCCTGCTCAGCAGGGAGTCTGCTTCTCCCTCTGCCCCTCCCCCTGCTTGTGCTCTCTCGCGCGCACTCTCTCTCGCTCTCTCTCAAATAAAATCTTTAAAATAAATAAAAAATAAAAATAAAAAATGTAATTGCAATAACAGGAAGCAAAATGTCAAAAAGAAATGGAAATCACTGCTGTTCCTAACATATCCTTTGCTTAATGGATGACAAATTGTAGCAATAATTCTCAACATGTAATGGAAAGCTGTCCCAGGATGGGAATCTGGCATGGACAAAGTCATGGAAAGCAGCTCTTTTTTGTTCCTAAGTTTGTCACAACTATTTACACATTGGCTGGCTTGAATTGAAATTTTGTGGATAAAGTAGCCCTTTTAAACAAGGAAAGAAGCCCAGGATCCATAGCACTCACATTCCACCTGCGTCCTGGGAATGACAGCGCAGAGAATGAGCGTTTAAGACGATATCACCTTGAAGTTTTCTTGTGAGACGGCTTCGAGACACTGTGAGCAGTCATAAAATGGAGGTCCATCCGGGGAATAACAACTGGGACCCAGAACATTCCAGATCACCTTGTACTGTATATCCATGGCCCCTTCTCCACGGATCATGCCAAAATGTCAAGAATGTTCTATTTCTCCTCACATCCTCCCTTCTCACCTTGTCCCCAGAATGGGCTCTCAAACGGACCAGCAGGAATCCTCAGAAGACGGAGTGCGGTTGGTCTGCACATTAATGGGGGTGAGGGACAAAACCAAGTAGTGAAGCAGCGTTTAAGGCAGGGGGGTGGTGAGGATGGTTGTTTCTTTAGCCAACTTTTTAGGTGCTCTTGGGATGGAGTAGAAATCACACTGCAGCAGCCAGTCTATCCCTCCTGACTCTACTCTTTGCTCTCAACACGCTAGAGGATAATAACAATGTATAGTCACAATAATATTAATATCTCAGATTCACTAAGTGCATTGTTGTGCACTTGTTGGGCATCCCTGGATGACAGCACCCCAGTAGTAATTTGGGAAAATCATCCCTTCACTACTGAGGGCAATACTGATAGGACTGTTCTCCGGAATGACCTAAGCCTGGCAAAATGAACTCCAGCTGCTCCATCAATTCTCTGAAGGAAAAACAAATAAAAACGTTTGGAGTTGATCAGAGTGTCAGCTAGCTCCTGATAATGCAGCTTGTTCCTTCTGAGCTTAGTTTTTAGTTGATTTTTTGGTTCTGTGAGTTACCCTAAAGCCTTCAAATGAAATCCAATGTTTGTTTGTGTATTAGTTTCCTAGAGCTGCCATAACAAATACCACAAACTGGGCACCTTTAAGCAATAGAAATGATTCTCTCACAAACTGACACTTATCAGAGGGGAGGCGGGTGAAGGGATGGGTGAAACAGGTGATGGGGATTAAGGAGGACACTTGTCGTGATGAGCACCAGGTGTTGTATGGATGTGTTAAATCACTAAATTGTATGCCTGAAACTAATATTCCACTGTATGTTAGCTAACTGAAATTTAAATAAAAACTTAAAAAAAATTATTTTCTCACTGGAGAATTCTGGAGGCTAGGAGTATGAACTTAAGGGTTCGTTCCTTCCAGAAGTTCTGAAGAAAAGTCTATTCCATGTCTCTCTCCAAGCTTTTGGTGGATGCTGGCAATCCTTGGCATTCTTTGGCTTATGGATGCATTATTCTAATCTCTGCCTCTGTCTTCCCATGGCTTTCTCTTCTGAGTGTTTGTGTTCAAATTTCCTGTTTCTTATGAGAAACACCAGCCATTGGATTAGGATCTACCCTAATGTAGTAGAACCTCTTTTTTAACTTGACTACACTGCAGAAACCCTATTTCCAAATCAGGTCACATTCAGAAATTAGAGGTGGACATGAATTTTGAAAGGACTATTCAACCCAGTAGAGCATGCAACCAAAAAAAAAAAAAAAACCTGATCCAGTTAAATTCCAACCCAGTGTTAAGAATGGGTTCTAGGCATTATGTTTTAATGTTAACAGCAACCCCTGAGGTGAGCACTTTTATTATACTCACTTTAGAGAGGGCAACATGAAGACCCAGAGAATTTGTTCAAGATCAAATAGCCAGTAAGAGGCAGAGCTAAGATTCAAGGCAAGGTCTCATCTGACACAAACATGTTCTCCTCCCCACCACACTATATTCTAGGCTTTGCCTTACTTGAAAATGCACTGATGACCCCCTAGCCCCCAACTACAAGCTAGGAAAGGAAAATGGTCCACTTCCCATTTCCACGCTAGGTCTCCACATCTCCACATGGCTATTCTGCCTTCTCTGTACCTCAGAACAGGGGACAACTGAAGTCAGAGTATCTGGAAGAGAACGAGGAAGAAAGCTGAGACAATCAGAGAATGGCTGCCATCATTATCTGATCAGAAGTCCACACGGGTAGCAGAGGCAGGAAGAAACCTGCTGAGCTCAGCGTCAGATGGGCAGAGGGACAGGGATAGAGGCAGTCTCTTCTCTGTGGGGCCCAGGCAAACGGTGAAGGGCTCAAGCGTAGAGGACCAGAGCACCAAAACATGGCGGGAGAGCTTTAGCCTCTGTAAGACTCTGCTGAATAGGGACTTGGACCATGTAACAGCTCAGGTGGGTCTCTGATCAATCCTGTGAGGCTTTAGGAATGAATCCAGATCTTTCAAAAAATCAGCAAAGGGCAGAGAAAGCCATATTCTTCAAAAATAGTAGATCCAGGGTCTGCTGGATTTTGAATGCTAGTGATTAACACTTATCCAACAGAGACCTCCCCCCAGCCACCCAGCATCCCCCAGAAAGACTCTGTGGCTGAGATGCTCCCTAGCATCTGCAAAGGCAGGACCCGGAAGGGGATGCTGATGTGGTACCAGAGACAAGTCAGAATGTCCTAAGATAAAAATAGAATCGATATGCTTTGAACTTCATTCCCAGGGGAAAATCATGTAGCTAGAAGAGTGTTATTGGTACCTCTCTAGAGCTGAAAGAGCATCGGAAAATATTCCAGTCAACATAGGGGGCTTTTTGTGATTATTCTTGTTCTTATAAGAGTACTACGTATTCCTCCTAGAAATACTAGAAAGAGATAAGCAAAAAAGAAAATAAAAATTACTCATTAGCCTGCCATCTGGAGGCATGTCATAAACATTTGTATTTGTATCCGTCCAGGTATTTTAAAAATATCCCCCCACCAAAAAATGGTGTCTAACATGCTTAGTTTTACAGTCTGCTTCTTTAACTTAAAAACGTACCACAACATCTTTCATCCCATTCAATGTTATTCTACAATGTGACTTTTCATGGCTGTATAATAACTCATTATATGCGTACCCCCATCAAACATTTTAGGTCATTCCAGATTGTTGCCGTTATAACCAATGCTACAGAAGTTAACGTTGCTAAATCTTTGCACGTGATTTATTTCCTTAGACTAAATGCCTAAAAATGTAATTACTGGGCCAAAAGCTATATAACACTTGAGGTTCTTTTTATACGTATTGCTAAACCATCCGGCAGGAAGGTTATACCAATGTATCCTCCCACCAGCAGCAGATGGGGGAGCCCATTTCATGCACCTTTGCCAACGGTGGATTTTGTCATTTAAAACATCTATGAAGTCACCGCTTATTCTGTAAAAGCATTCCCATCCCTGAAAAGCAAGATTTTTCCTGCCAAGGAGTGCACGTGAGTCATTAGGAGATTAGTCCAGTTATTCTAAAGCCATTACATTTCTGTCCTTGTGCCTGACGTAGCTCCTGCACCCAGGGATGCTTTGGGAAAGAAAACTGTCAAGGAGGACTTGAATAAAGAGGGAACACGTACAGATTCTCCTGTCTCTGCAGACACTGAAGAGGCCGGTGCTCCAGTCTCCCCCAGTCTGGACAATCGCTGTGATGGTGGTCCTGCCAGGGGTTCCCCGGAGAGGCTGCTTCACCACGGCCTGAGCTGGCCCATGGCTCCTAGAGAGTCAAAAACAGTGATTAACTTGAAAACAAAGGCGATTAACCATTAAGCCAAGACAGAGTGATAAAGAGGAGAAAGGGACCCAGTGATGTCAAGTGGCTCCTAATTTATAGCCCAAGCTCCTCACCAGCTGCCCCCCTTCCCGCTTCTCCCTGACTTTGCCCTCTATTAATGGCATGAATATTCCAGACCCTGTCATTCACCTTTAAGGTCCAGCCTACTTCCTTAGTGTTTCTCAGTGTTTCGTAATAGCTAAATCCACAAATTTGGAACCAAGAGGCCTCAGTTCAAATGCCGGCTTGTCACTTCCTGGCAGCTTGACCTTGGCTGTTGCTTAACGTCTCTATTTCTGTTTGTTCGAATGTAAGATTTAAAAAGATGACCTCATAGGATTATTGTGTTGAATGAAGGACATATAATTAGTTTGCTGTGTCTAGAATGTGTTTAACAAGTTGTCCTGAGTGAGGCTGCACCCCCAGGGTTTTGAGCCTTCGCTGAAGACACTTGGGCATAGAAATCGGGACTAGGCTGTGGAAGTTGAACACGCCGTATCATTTAAGTGAACAACCAAGACTTCAGAAGATGTCTTTTTTTGTTTGTTTAAAGATTATTTATTTATTTTGGTGGGGGAAGGGCAAAGGGAGAGAGAGAATCTCAAGCAGACTCCCCACTGAGTGAGGAGCCTGACACAGGGCTGGATCTCACAACCCTGAGATCATGACCTGAGCTGAAAGCAAGAGTGGGATGCTTAACCCACTGAGCCACCTAGGCGCCCCAGAAGATATCCTGATGTCAAAGTACTATACGACTGTCTGGGGTTGGGGGGCACAAAATACAACTTTGGGTTAATTTTCTCTGAAGGGAATAGATATTCCACATTATCATTCTGAAGTAGAAAATATGGGCCCAGGGGATAGTCTTCAAAAGTGAGGTGGAAAAATTCCCTTCTCTTTCTGGGGGCCGAAAGCCGGTTTTGCCTGAGCTCCTACCATGGGGATACTTGGGGCGAGTCCCACAGTGAAGGGTAAGCTATACCTAGCCTCTGGAAGGGGCAGATCAAGAGGATGGTCGAGGGACCGCACTAGAATGAGTGTGAGCCTGTACCTGGTAGTAATTTTTCTACTTTGTGCTTCCCTTTTGGCAAGCCTCATTAACAGTTTGTACCTGTCTCTGGTGTGTTGTGAAGAATTAAAGAAAGAGCCTGCCTCACACATGAGACAAAATAAACAAGAGACAGCAGAATTTCTTCCTGTAACAGCTGCTGTTACAGGACTACTCACCAGGGCTCAGCACCTGTGACACATGGCCTGGAGGCCAGAGAGGGACATTCCCGAGCACCCTTAAGGCAACACCCTGGGGGCATCTTAGAAACAGCACTTCTGCCCTTTGAGAACCTCTAAATCAGGGCGATAAATCCAATGGGGGTGCATTGTTCTTGTTAAGATCCACATCTCATTCTACCAACACTGCCCACGTCCACGCCTTACAAACCTGATGTGCTTTTAATAAACACATTAGCTTGTTAACAAAACAAATGCCGAAGCCTCACCCAGGCCAACAATGCTGGTCTCCAGACTAGAGGTACAGAAATCGAGATTCTTAACAAGGTTGCCCGCAATACCTATGCAGTCATCCTGACACCAGCCAGCCTGAAGCCTGACACAGGTGGATATGAGGGCCACTGATAGCCACAACAGCCTCTGAGTCTCCCACAGGGGGAGTGGGGGTGTGAACGTGAGAGAGATGGCAAAGAACACAGAGTAGGAGGGAGGCTGGTGGGGAAGAGGACGGCTGGAACATAGCCGGTCTTCATGGCCAAGGAGACGTGAGCTGCGAGAGAGGTTAAGGTCAGGAGCTACGTGTCCAGAAGTACAAAGTGGAGCTATAAACAAGCCCAACCCCTTCATCCCTTAGGCATTTAGAGACAATGCTTAGAGGCTAATGAGCTTTTCAAGAGCCTGCAACAGTATTTGAGACCTGGAGTAAAGTACTGGTTCCAAAATATAAAAACTGCAAAACAGACGGCAAAATTAGTTAATGCTCAACTAAACACAGAAATCTAGCATTATGCCAATCTCATTAACTGTCAAATTCACAGATTCACAAATATTTTATTACATTTAAAAACAATTTAGAGGGGCACCTGGGAGGCTGAGTTGTTAAGCATCTGCCTTTGGCTCGGGTCACGATCCCGGGGTCCCTGCTCCGCGGGGAGCCTGCTTCTCCCGCTCCCACTCCCCCTGATGTGTTCCTTCTCTCGCTGTGTCTCTCTCTGTCAAATAAATAAATAAAATCTTCCAAAAAAATAAATTAAAAATAAAAACAATTTAGAAATCTCATTTGCAAAAAAAATCCCAAGTATGAATGATTGCTGAGAAACAAGAGCCAATCGTAAAATGAACTAACCGCGGAGAGCCAAATAATTTCAAAGGCAAAATTATAAAAATCCTTTCACTTAATTGTATAGTAGGGAAAGTATGGATATAATGTGTGGTATGGATACACTTTAATAGGTTTGTTACAATGTGGGTTTGGGCCCATGGTATGAACTGAACTGTGTTCCCCCAAAGTCATATGTTGAAGCCCCAGCCCCCCGTGTGACTGTATTTGGAGACAGCGCTTTTAGGTGATTACAGTTAAGTGAGGAATAGCAGTGGGAGCCTGGGCTGATAAAATTGCCATGTAAAAAGGCCACGTAAGCACCCATCGAGAAGGCTACAAACCAGGTGGAGCGCCCTCCCCAGAACCCGATCACGCGGGCACCGTGACCTTGCACTCACTTCTAGCCTACAGAAAAGTGAGTGAATAAATTCCGGTTCACGAGGCCAGCCGGTCTATGGTATTGTGTTATGGAAGCTCAGCGTGGACTAAGACAGCTCTGAAGATTTCAAACTGGTGCTGAAGAAACCATCTTATGCCTGTCTTATTTCCTCTGCTCCCGTGTGAGCTCCTTGGGGTCGGCGGGCACAAGCTGCTCCCCCCCTTAGCCCCAAAAGCCAGCACACTACCCGATACCTGGCAGGCATGTGCTTATTTGGTGAACTGGACCAAACTGAATGTCCATTATCTCTTCCGTTATCTTTGAGTCCTCCTCAAATCTAGTCATCAGTTATATGATCTTAACTGTGTTTCCCTCTCCAGCAAAGGTACACTTCTCAGGTGTGGAGAGAGGAAATAAAAGCAGAGAGGAGCCTCAAAGCTTCCTGCATCCCTCCACACAGACTAGGGCATTTACCGCTCAATGTGATGCTCACAATCTGGGGTTTCCGTCCTTACACTAAGAGCTTCCAATTATCTCTGATTTGAGCAGAAGAATTTCTTAGGGCTAAGCCCCTGGATTAGATTTTCCCCTGAAATGAACCATTTACAGCTTGCAGCCCTAGAATAGAATTTTCTGCTTCTAGCTCAGCCTTTTATGATGGCAAGGAAGGCTGTCCTCTATTCCAAATCAAACAGCAAAGAGAATAGCTTCTCCTTGGTGGGGGAAAAAAAGTTTTTTGTGTTTGCCTAACTTTGAACTCAGCAAGTATTCTACTGATTATCTTGATACCCTGAATCTTTGGTGACTTTTTATTAAAATGTTTCAATTGACATGCATTGGCTAAAAAATTCAGCTCAGGATTATAGTTTGTGTGTCATACTGAAAATACCAAGTACAGGGGCACCTGGGTGGCTCAGTCGCTAAGCGTCTGCCTTCAGCTCGGGTCATGGTCCCAGGGTCCTGGGATGGAGCCCCGCATCGGGCTCGCTGCTTGTCAGGAAGCCTGCTTCTCCCTCTCCCACTCCCCCTGCTTCTGTTCCCTCTCTGTCTCTGTCAATTAAATAAAATCTTTAAAAATTTTTCTTAAAAAAAAAAAACAAAAAACAAGCACAGCTACCCTTGACTGAGCACCTTCTATGTGCCAGGCACTTTGCAATTCCTTTAAAACCTGAATAATTTATCAGGGGCTGCTTCGAGTATCAGACTAAAGCACCTGCTGTAGCTCCCTGCACAGCTGTTAGCTCAGTGGATACTCCGGGGAATCTTCTACTACCATACAGAATAGGAAAGAGTCTGGAAACCGTGGATGAGGCGGACGGTCGCAGAGCTTTGCTACACCAGAGCAGCTGTCCATTTGCCATCAAATTCAGCAAGTTCTTCATTGAGTGGAAAGAGGACAGATTTTAGGCCCAGGCACACCAAAATTCACATGTGGCCCGGCTGCCTTCTACTTGTCTGACCTTGGGAACACAAGTCGTCACCGCCCTCAGCTCTGGTCTCTCCCCCATAAAACTGGATAGGAAACATCCTCCCTCTGCAGTGGCCTTGAGGATTAAACAAGATCACGCTCTGGGCACACAGTAGGCTTGCAGTGGGTGGCGGCTACTGTTATTTTAACTTCATGATCCTGCACTTGGCCTAGGGCCTTCTGTACCCTTTCCTGAGAAACAGAGAATGGAGGCAGGAGCTGTGGGGCAGTTTCTCAGGTGTCACACGTGCTGCCCAAATACCTAAAACTTCGATCCCGGTGACCCATCATCCAGTTTTCCCAGGACTAACGGTTTTCCCAGGAGGGAGAACTTTCAGGGCTAAACTCAGGACATCCCCAGGTGAACCAAGAAGTTTAGTCACCCTAAGAGACAAGCAGCGGAGGGAGGCTTCAACCGGTGGGAGAAGGCTGACTCGAAGCACGAGGCAAGAGGCCCCATGCTGGGAGATGCAAGAGATGCATACCCTCCCCCCTTTCTGACCTCACTCTGTTCTCTTCTCGCCACTGCTGCTAAGCGCATTCCCCACCCCATGTCCGCACTTGCCTGGTGCTTCAGCCTGAGGGAGGAGGTTCCTATCACCCTCTTCCCTGATGAAACTTGGAACTAAAAAGGGTTCATTCTGCTTTCTACCCAGGCTTCCTTGATTACTTCAAACTTAACTGAAGCCAAAGCCCTGGAGTTTTGATTTCAAAGGACTAGAAATTACTGGCAGCCACCAGAAGTCAAGTTTCACTTGGTCAGGGTTCAACATTGAAAGTTAAGAATAAAGAGACACCCTTTCACCCAAGCCAGCCCTTCTTTTCGCTATCCAAGCAGGGCCCGAAGGAACTGATCAGTTGCCCCTTTCCAAGTACCCATAGAAAATGATAGCAACTACTTTCTTCCCAAGCCCAGTTTTCTTCTCTTGGCTCCTCATAAGAGGAGACTGATTTTTAGACAGAGAGACAGAGACAGAGAGAGAGATTTGATATGCTACCCAAAAAGAAAAAGTTAATAGAAAAAAAAAAAATCACCAACTCTACCTCATACTAGAAATAAAATGTTGTTCATCTTCAGAGGAGATGAGTGAAAGCAACAGAGGTGAGTGTACGTTGAGAAAGGAAACATCCTCAGGAAATTTAGAGAAGTAATTTCCAAACCAATTCATAGTGAGGTGCTTTCCTGTCGCTGGGACTCTCCTTCTCCCTTTGACAACAGGCTGACTAGATTCTGAACTTAGATTCATCCAAAGTGAAGCATCTCTTCTAAAGAATGTTGCGTTGATATTCTGGAACCTGAGGTCACAGCACTTTACTAACAGACATCTTATTTCTTTAAAGACACGTACACACAGGGGCACCTGGGTGGCTCAGTTGTTAAGCGCCTGCCTTCGGCTCCGGTCATGATCCCAGGGTCCTGGGATCGAGCCCCGCATCGGGCTCCGTGCTCAGCGAGGAGCCTGCTTCTCTCTCTCCCACTCCCCCTGCTTGTGTTCCCTCTCTCGCTGTGTCTCTCTCTGTCAAATAAATAAAATCTTTAAAAACATAAAAATAAAGACACGTACACATCTAACTGGACATGTCCGTGTTCAGGGTATTAGGAGTCCCTGAAGTATGTCTCTAGGACATGCCTTACACAGGTGTGGACCTCAGCAATGCTGGGAAAATGTCCAGAGAGGAAAAAAACTTGAGAAAAAATTGCAATTGAGGGAAGAGGTCTACAATCTTAATTCAGGGTTCCATCAGAAAGACAACAGCAGGTAACTGCCAAATATACTATATATTCTTCACATCGGACCCACGGAGAATGACTGTTGAAGGTTCTGAATTTCAAAGCATTTATTTGAGCAGGTTTGTGAGGAAAAGTCTGTATAACACCTCCCAAATCAAGATTCTTCAGATACAGCTTCCTAATTGCCTTCACTCACTGGGTTCTGGGCAAGTCTGTCTCCTCATCTAGAAGGATGCGTCTTATATGAAGGACAGCCATTTTTCTTCTGCTTACCACTCCAATCTAAGTGCTTAACACAGAGTCTGCAACAGAATAAGCATTCAGTAATTTGTTGAACAAATGTGCTATATATGAAAATTCCAGTTTGTAAGGATAACAGAAATTAACAGGTGATTACTAGCTTTGCAAAAAAAGATTTACAATAAGATTCCTTTAAGGAGTGGACAACCATTGTCCATGTACGCTGATTCCATCTTTTAAAATTTCATTTGTACTTCACTTTTCTAATCAAACATCTATTGTATGAACCAACTAAGCTGTAGGCCACATAGCTCTTCTACCTAAAAATAAAATGAAAAAGAGAAAGAAGAAAAAGAATGTTCTTCTTTACAGAAGAATGACAACTGTATATAAAAAAGAAATAACAGCATTTAAAAATCACCATGTTGAATAGCATCCAACATAACTTATTCAGAAAAGGATCTTGAAGGGGCACTAAAACCATTAGGTAAAAAAGAATGGAAACAGGATGTTCCCAAGGTGCCAAAATATCACTCCACAGATTTCTCATTGCAAAAGAAAAAAATGTATCTCAACTCTGGAGAGTTCCAGAAATACTCAAAATCTATCTTTAAAATGGAAAGTTCTGAGTGTTTTTTTTTAAGTATCGTTACAACAAAAACTCTGGAAGTAATTTCAAAAATACATACCTTAATATATATATATATATATATATATATATATATATACACATATATACACATGCGCACACACATATATATACACACACACAAACACCTTTATAACGGAAAGTTCTGAAAGTGATCAAAGTATATATTTAAAATACAGTTTTGGAAAATACCAAATTTAGTTATCATTAAGAATGGGACAAACTCATATTATGTACCTCTTGGTGCAATGCAATACGAAATGTCTAAATTTCATCAAGTCTCTAGACCACTGTCCAACAGAAATATAATGTAAGCCACAGATGCAACTTTAAATTTCATGTTTTTAAAAAGTAAAGAAAAGATGAAATTAATTTTAATGTATTTTAACACAATTCATTCAAAGCATTATTTCAGCAAGACTATCATTACTGAGACATTCTATATTCTCTTTGTCATACTAAGTCTTTGAAAGTGAAAGCATGTTCTACACTTTCAAACAGTACACCTCAATTCAGACTCGCCACCTCTCAAGTGCTCTACACACACGTGGTTAGTGGCTACACTACTGCACAGCACAGTTCTAGACTGAACTGCAGGATAAGGACAACGGGGGATAGAAGAACAAATTACCACTTAGTCCTCCAGAATGAAAATGCAGGAAGTACTCCCCCGTCACATTCCTAACCCTTAGGGGCAAGGATCATTCCTCTCCTGTTGTTTTGCTTTCTGGAAGTGAGAGAAGGGGTTCCCACCTTATAACCAATCAAGCTGTAAGCCTAACAGTGGGCAATGAGAAATCTTAGTTGATCCTGCAAGTTTTGGGTGGGATCTGAGTATTTTCTAATACAGAGATGAAGTTAGGTCCAAAGACGGCAAGGAGAGGAAAGAGTGTAACCAAGTATCAGCTAACACTGAGACCCTACCAGAGCCAGGCACATTGATCTCTACTAAATAGTCATTAGAACAACTAAATGAATGACTTTCTCAAGATAAAAAGAGATGGACACAATGACCACAAACTAGAGAAGACACAAAACCATACTATCTCATCTCCACACCAAAACCTGCAGTGACTCTGCAGACAAATCAACTTCAAATTTCATCCTGGAATCTGAGAATCTTTATAAGGCCTGATTTACTTAACCTGCTTCCAGTTATCCTCTCATTCCTCCCAGACAAACATTCCATTCCTGGCATTATCTCCCCAACAAGCACATACTTGTTTTCGCTTCCAAGCCCTTACCCACACCGAGTTCTAAGAGTCGGGTAGGTGCACTGCTCTGCTTCAACTGCTACCCCAGTCCTAACCATCCTTTATGCTCTGCCTCACCTGTGAAGTCCTCACCCTGCTCCGTATCTTCTCCCTCCTCTCAGAGCCCTGACAACACATTCCTGTTTGGCCTGTATGCATTCTTGTTTAGTAAGTGGCTTGCAGGGGCGCCTGGGTGGTTCAGTCCGTTAGGTGTCTGCCTCTTGATCTCGGCTCGGGTCTTGATCTCTGGGTGGCGGGTTCAAACCCTACGGTGGGCTCCACACTGGGCATGGAGCCTACTTAAAAAAAAATTTTTTTTTAAGTGTGTTGCAATGAATGGGAAGTATGGAGGCTAGGGCCCTAGTTTAGCTCTGCCACGAGTGCACAGGATCTTCAGCAGGCCGCTTCTCACCTGTTTCTTCAGGTGGCCTCTATGCAATTCCTTCAGCACACCAGCTACACACCCTGCCTCAGAGCCTTTATACCTGCTCTACCTTCTGCCCAAAATGCCTTTTTGCCCAGATTATAGGCTAACAAAATTACGTACTCATTTACTCTCAGACCTACAAGCCTACTGCTAGAAATTTACTCTTAAGATATACACCTCCACAGGGATGCCTGGCTGGCTCAATCGGGGGAGCAAGCGACTCTTGATCTCGGGGTTGTGAGTTCAAACCCCACATTGGGTGTAGAGATTACTCAAAAATAAAATCTTAAAAAAAAAAAAAGATACACTGCCACAAATATAAAACCACATATTCACAAAGTTACTCACTATGTAATTCTATACAAAGTCTATAAAATAGAAAAAGCTCAGAAACAATCTAAATGCCCATCCATAGGAGACTAGGTGAACAAATTGTGATACACTTTCACAACAGTATGACACAAAGCAGGGAGAAAAGAAGAGACAGGAGGGGGGAGGGCGGAAAAGGAGGAGGAGAAGGAAAGATGTCTATGCACTAACTTAAAAAAGGAATGTGTAAAATAATTATATATAACATGCTGCTTTCTTGTATGAGAAAAGAGAAATTAAAGTACATATAGAGAGAGGACAAACTGATGGTTGCCAGAGGGCAGAGGGCGGAGGGATGGACAAATGGGTGAAGGGGAGTGGGAGATACAGGCTTCCGGTTATGGAACAAGTAAGTCACTGGGACAAAAGGTACAGCACAGGGAACATAGTCAGTGGGACTGTAATAGCGTTGTATGGTGACAGACGGTAGCTACACTTGTGAGAATAGCAAAACTTACAGACTTGCTGAATCACCATATTGTACCCCTAAAACTAGTGTAACATTGTATGTCAACTATACTTCAATTTTTAAAAAGTACATATAAACATTTGCTCATTTTTGGAAAAAGAAACACAGGAAAGACAATGAAGAAACTAATGAAAATGGTTAGCTATACAGCACGGGAGGGAATATGGTACAAGAAAGTAAAAGTTCTCTAAATGGATCAAGTTTTGACTTTTGAACTGTGTATTTTATTTATTCAAAAAAACCTGAACTCTACTTAGTAGATTTGTTGCTAATAATAGTACTGGATTGGTAATTCTGAAGTCACTAATAGTCCAAATGAGTAAATTTATTGAGATTATAGCATGTACGAAAAAAAAAATACATCAGTCCACAGTGTTTTGAAAACGGTGAAAGAAAAAAATTGAGGGCAAAAGGGAAACCTCTTCTTTACAGAAGAACTGTATCTAATACATGTAAAAGAAATGACAAAATTAAGAACTCTCCTTATTATAACTATCAATGTAATAATAAATGGCAGAAAGATGACGAACGAATGCTGCCATTTCCTCAAAGTTTGTGGGTAAATAGGATATTCACGTTAAGTCTCAAAATCATCACCTTATTAATTATAAAAGGGAAAAAGTACCTTTCCAATGGGGAAATCTGAAGATACGACTTTAACCAGTGATGTGAACACACCTACAATATATCAATATGTCAATCCTGATGTGATACAATGGGAAACATCACCCATGTAGCCAAGCTTGTCAAGAATTTTAAATCTGGATCTAATAATGAGAAAATAGACAAATCCAGATTGTGAGGCAAACTAATAACAATTGTCATGGAGTCTTCAAAAATGTTACTGTCATGAAATATCAAAAAAGAAAAGAAAGCTGAGAAATTGTCTTAGTTTGAAGGAAGTCAAGAGACATGACCACAAAATGTAATGCTTGATCTTTGATTAGATCCTAAGAGTTAAATATTATTGATGAGTTATTGGGAAATTTTTATTACTTCATTTTTATTAGGAAAGTTTACTACCTATTATTACTGCATCATGTTAAATTTCTTGAGCAAAATATGTTTATACACACACACATACACATACACACACGTCTAGTGATTATACAGGAAAATGTCCTAGATCTTAGGAATTACATGCCAACATATTAAAAGGTAAAGTGTCATGATCTGTGCAACTTACTGTGAAATGGTTCAGAATTTTTTTAAAGTATATTCTAAATGCAGGGGCGCCTGGGTGGCTCAGTCGTTAAGCATCTGCCTTCGGCTCAGGTCATGATCCCAGGGCCCTGGGATCGAGCCCCACATCGGGCTCCCTGCTCAGCAGGAAGCCTGCTTCTCCCTCTCCCACTCCCCCTGTTTGTGTTCCCTCTCTTGCTGTGTCTCTCTCTGTCAAATAAATAAATAAAAATCTTAAAAAAAAAAAAAGTATATTCTAAATGCAAAATGGTATCCTGGATTGGATCCTGTAATAGTAAAATAGTAAAATGACATCAGTGCAAAAACTGATGAAATCCAAATAAAGCCTATAATTGAGTTAATAGTAAAATACCAACGTTAACTGTTTAGTTCTGATAACTGAACCAAGGCTATATAAAATGTCTGTTAACATGAGGGGAAACTGTGAAGGGTATACAAGAACTCTCTGTACAATAGATGCAACTTCTATATAAAAGTATTCCAAAATAAAAAGTTTATTTAAAAAAAAATGTGTAGAGAGAGAGAAAGCAAAGGTGGCAAAATGTTAGCAATTGGTCAATCTAGGTGATAGGTATATGGATGCTTATTGGCCAATTCTTTTAACTTTGCTGTAGGTTTAAAATTTGTCAAAATAAAATGTTAAAGCTACAGAAGGTTAAAAGTAAATGGATAGAGAAAGATTCCACATGAACACTAACCAAAAGAAAACTGATGTTATTATATTAAATCATCGCCTTTAGGCAAAAAAAATTTCTAAAAACAGAGGAACACTTCCCAACTAGAAAAAGTTCAATTCACTTCCCAACTAGAAAAAGTTCAATTTACCAGGAAGATAAGAGAATTTAAATGTATATGCACCTAATAAAACAGCATCAAAATATATACAACAAAAAGCTGTCTGAACTATAAGAAGAATAAATCCATGATCTTGGGAGATTTTAGCACACCTCTCAAAAACAAAGCAAGAAAACAAAACAGTAGGATACAACTTTGAACAATTCAATCTACAACCATGACCTAAAGGACATATACAGAACATTATGATTGCAGAATAAACATTCTTTTCAGATTCACATAGAACATGTATAAAAACAGCTGAAGAAGAAAAAAAGATCTGACAGTGTATGTTAAATTGAATTTAAATCAAAAAAAATTTTTTAAAGATGCCAGTTAAAAAAAAACATATATAAAAACTGATTTATACTGACTGGGACACAAGCATGTCTTTATGGGAGGAGGCACAAGTAGGCTTCTGAGGTGCTGGTGTTGTACTGTTCTTTGAATGGTGATTACATAGGTTTTGCTCTGTTGATAAATTGTTTTGTTGCTGTAATATTTTTCTTAATTTAATTGTTTATATTTTTCATATTTTGAGTGTATATTATATATTTCTTGTTACTCACTTTTTATGTGTGTGCATATCTCACAACTTAAGAATTAAAATCCTTTAGGAAGATACCAATCTCCTATCAATATGGTAAGCCCAATGCAGCTTATTTTTCCTAAAGCAATTCAATTAACTGTTGTTTCTTCAGTTGAGCACCAGATGAAGCAATGGGCTTATGCTTACAGGCTTTCTTGTATAAAACTTACGTATCTTTTTTTTTTTTTAAAGATTTTATTTAGGGGCGCCTGGGTGGCTCAGTCATTAAGCGTCTGCCTTCGGCTCAGGTCATGGTCCCAGGGTCCTGGGATTGAGCCCCACATCGGGCTCCCTGCTCCGTGGGAAGCCTGCTTCTCCCTCTCCCACTCCCCCTGCTTGTGTTCCTGCTCTCGCTATCTCTCTCTCTGTCAAATAAATAAAATCTTTAAAAAAAAAAAGAATTAAAGATTTTATTTATTTATTTGAGAGAGAGAGAATGAGAGAGAGCACATGAGAGGGGGGAGGGTGAGAGGGAGAAGCAGACTCCCTGCCGAGCAGGGAGCCCAATGTGGGACTCGATCCAGGGACTCCAGGATCATGACCTGAGCCGAAGGCAGGCATTTAACCAACTGAGCCACCCAGGTGCCCCAAAACTTACATATCTTTAAACACAAGAAGTATATTTAGCCCAGCAAGATGCTCATTCTAAGAGAGACACCAAGGAATTGAGCCTGCAAGAACAAAGGATCTATGAATCCCAACTCACATTAAATCTAAGTTCATCAGCTCATCTAATAGGTAATAATCCACAATACTAAAATTATTTTCCATCCTTCTTGTTTGCTTTTTGTTTTTGTTTTTTGCCACACACATATAGTTTAATTTACCTAAGTTAAACATAAGTGAGTTTGTATTTAGGCACCAGGAAAGATTACTTGATTTAGGGAATAACTAAGGCTATACAGATTGAGGGAGCAGCAAAAGAATCTAGAGGGCAAGCAACAAAACAGTGGCCCCATAGAAACCAACACAAAGGACATGATTATAGCCTATAATAATCTTAAGCCAATACATCCTGGATTTATTATTATTATTATTATTATTATTACCATTAATATTATTAATCAGTAACATCTACTGAAGGCTTACCACGTGCCAGGTACTATGTTATATATATGGTTTCCCTAGAATGTTTCACCTAAACATCTCATGCTAAGTCTAGAAAGTAGCTAGACACATTATTACTTCTATTTTACAGATGAAGAAACTGAGGCTGAGTAACTGGCCAAAATCACCCAAGTAGCAAATGGAAGAAGTGGAAATCTAACCTAGCTAGTCTGACTTCAGAGCATGTAACTTTACCTGCTATGCTATGCTGCCAGCCCTTACCAGATAAAGGATGACTTGCACTTGACCTCTAAGGGATCTTTCAGTTCTAATATGAAATGACTTACTTCAATCAATCTATGATAAAGCATTCAGTGTGGTCCAGTAATGTCAAACTGTTGCAAAATAAAGAAGCTCAGTATCGGGACACCTGGGTGGCTCAGTCGTTAGGCGTCTGCCTTCGCCTCAGGTCATGATTCCAGGGTCCTGGGATCGAGCCCCGCTTCGGGCTCCCGGCTCAGCGGGAAGCCTGCTTCTCCCTCTCCCACTTCCCCTGCTTGTGTTCCTACTGTCGCTATCTCTCTGTCAAATGAATAAATAAAATCTTAAAAAAAAAAAGCAGCAGCAGCTCAGTATAATCTTTTGACTTAACCTGAAAATTAGAACTCAGGTTCCTTACAGTCATCAGAATTGGTCTTTGCCCATACTGTCTTTTTTTTTTTTTTAAGATTAATTTGCTTAAGAGAGAGTGCATGCGTGCATGTGAGTGGGGGAGGGATAGAGGGAAAGAATCTCAAACAGACTCCCCAGTGAGCACAGGTGGCAATGCAGTCTTGATCTCACTACCCTGAGATCATGACCTGAGCCAAAATCAAGAGTCAGACACTTAACCGACTGAGCCACCCAGTCTTTGCCCATATTGAACCCTTAAAGAAATGAAAATATTTTTCTCTAGTGTCAGTCAATACCTAATATTCTTCCTCATATGAAGCAGAATGGCACAGATAACATCAAAAGACATTCCACAGGAGTAAAACAATAAATCTGCAATACAGCAGACATGATCTTTAAACACAACTGGACTTGAGACAAATCTAACAAATGGCAGATTTCTGGGGGGGGAGGAAATCCTCTCTTAAAATGCCTAAATTTAGTGTAAATCATTATAAACTGCTTATAAATTATTGATGTTAGCCCTAAAAAAGTACTATTGGTGGTTGATCAAATATATGAAAGCTAGAAGAATTCTTATAAATGTAAAACCTATTTGTTTCTTATACAAAATACTTGTTAAGTCAAAATATTCTGTGTTTTTTTAAATCATCATAAGAGTTCTGCCCTTTAAAAAGTAAAACTAGCTAATTCAGTTTTTCTTTTTAAAAAAGAAATATAACTAACTCCATAATGGTATAATATAAAAAGTTGTTAGATGATCCTTAGCCTTCATAAGTAGTATAAACTACACGTCAAAAAGAAACATACTGACATTTTTGTATTAATCTGAAAGACTAGAAGCTTCTGGGAAATAGCAATAGTTTGTTGTTGTTTTTTTATAGCAATGGTTTGTTAGAAAGAAAAAAAAGTATGGTACAAACTACTTCTCTCAGAAGTCCCAAGAAGGAAGAAAAAAAAAAATTTATTAGGTTAGGATTCCAAGATGACTTGGTGTAACTATGATTACAGAATTTGATGGTTAGAAATGAAGTCTTTTAAGGTCCAGCCTAAGGTCCTTATACCCAATCTGTAGACACAGAATAGTCACATCCCCAGAAACCAGGATATATCTCCAATCTGCATGAGTTTAATGAACCAGATAGATAATTGTATCACCAATATCTGCCCCTAGCCCATTTTCAGTGAGATGAATTTTCTTGCTCATGAGGTCCACGTGGAAAACAGCATGCTCAGAAATGGGGGTCTTCCCAGTGTGCTCTTTTCCCAGGACAGGAACTCGCCGAGGCCCCAACAGTGGATCATCAAATCTCATCAGCTTCACTTTAGAAAGGTCTATAGCAAAAAAAGATGATCAATATGAGCATTTAATTACAGTCACTGCCTCAAACCCATGCCTGAGCCTGACAATTCAAGCTTTAAACACACTGGTTGTTTATCTAAAAGATATTTTCATGAGATTATTAAATAAGACTCAATTTCAGAAAGCAGAGCTAAATCTAACAAATCTTCCTGTTAGCTTCTACCCAGATCAAAGACTCAGAGGCAGAGATTCTATGTAACACCTCACCTTGAATTATAAACCACGAGGAAGGATTGAGTATATTTTTGAGCATTATCCTATATGGTTTCTCAAATCACTTTTTATATGCTTCAATTAACCAATTTTCAAAATATTAGTAGGTCTAAAACTTCTTTCTCTTTCTTGTCTTGGTTCCTGGGATACATTAAAATGGCGAGAGTCGTAGCTTTTTTCAAAAGATACTTCTAGAGAAAGAATTACTACTCTAAGAAACAGCATTACCAGTTCCTTGTTTTGCTCCAAGGATGAAAAGTGTTGGTAGAGACTGGTGAGCTGGTGAGAGACAAGCTGGTGAGAGACAAGCTGGTGAGAGACAAGGAGAGACGGAGAAGGACGGGGAAAAGGGCACAGCTTTCTGAGTTTTGAGCTTCTGGATGCACTCCAACCCTGCCCTGCTTGAGATTTTCCTGATCTGCTCTTGTGCGAGCTGATAAGATGGCTCCTGGCAAAGAAAGCACTTGGCCCTTGAACAAATTTATGATCCAACAATCCTGCCAACAACTGAGCCTGAAAAAAAATTTATTTATTTCAGCAATTCTGAGGCATCCCGACATCAAATGCTTTTATTTTATATGGTAGAAAAACAACATAAGTGACTACAAATGCTGATTCTGGGTTTATATCTCACTCTACGTGTAGCATGGCTAGTTATACTTAACTCGATCCACAGAAATAGAAGGTATTTTCTGAATTAGTTCGCACCCCTTTCTAAAGCAGATTGCTAGGTGGTCCATGAGCTACACTCCCCCATGCTGCCTTGAGAGTATGAAGCTTAGCATGAGAGGGATAAGAGATAAAAGCAGACATTAATGCAGCTGGTGGCTATGGCAGGAGTACAAGTTATCCAGGCATTATATTCTCTTTGGGAAACAAAGACTGAAAGACTACGTTTAGCGTAGGGATATTGAAGCTTACAGAATAATTATCCAAGACTACTATGAAGGCAAACCTGGCCAGACAGTCTTATTTGGGGGAAAAAATACAATTCATTTTAACAGCTATTACATTTCAACATGCACACTGGTGATACTAAATATTTTGCTATGGAAGCAGTGTGAAATTCTGCCAGGAGATTTTATGCATAAGACGTTTACTGCAGATCTGCACCTCCCCCCCCCCTCGCTCTCTTTCTCTATCCTTCTCTCTCTCTCTCTCCCCCTTCCTTTCTGAAACAGAACTCCCTCATCATTCCCAGCAATTCTGAATCAAACTATTCAAAGAAGCCTTAATACTCAATCAGGCATCTAAGTGACAAAACATATTTGATGTTTCACCATATAGCTCATTACTGCCAATAATTCTTGGAGCTTTCTTAGTGGTTTTACTCTCTTTTCTTATTGCAGACCTCTCTCATCATTGAAAATGCAGAAATTTAAGTCTGCAACTACACAAGAATTAAGGCACTTAGAGAAAAGATGAAACTGACTGACAGTCCCTAGGGAATGATAATGTGAAATGCAGCCTTTCACCTCCATGTTATCAGTTCATATGCGGCATGGGCTGGGAGTGATTTAAAGTCATTATCATCAAATAGTTGCTCAGTGGCCTTTGTGGAGAGAAATGATGGTTACACTCCAGTTCCTCCTGGACCTAGATCATAATCACCCTCAATGCAATTGGCACTAATTGGACAACTTACTGGCTATTGCAGCAAACAGAATGAGAAATATGTTACTGAATTTCACTCCCTTCCCGTCTCATACACTCAATATACTTAGCCCCCTTATATATCAAAGCATCCTGAGGGCTTTTGAAGAAGTCTCAAGGTTAGAGCTCTTCTGCAGATACTTGAAGGAGTATCAATTTCAAACTCCACCCTAACATTTCTATCCATTTTCGAAAATTCATAGCAGCTACGAACATCAAACTTAAGTACTTTATGATAATATTATTCACAGCTAGTATGACAAAGGATGTAAGAATTATGCCAGAAGCTTAGTGAGAAAAGATGAGATACAGAAAACACATTTCAGTACAATTCTGAAGAACCTCATCAGTCCTGTATCTGAGCATATTTAAAAGGGAGGCAGTTGTAACATTACAAAATACAATTTCCAATATAGGAAAACATCTTATTACATGCTCTAACTTCATAATAATCCTACCCAGTGGGTCCACAGAACTATCTATTTTCTTTAAAACCCACCACAATATTCTTCAAAGATAAGAGTTCTACCTATTACAAAATCGTCTCATGACCGAATAGATGCAATATAGAACAGCCAAATGGAAGGCCACAAGATGGCTTCCTTGTACGTTCATATTTCAAAGTTTCCAAATTCTGCTTTCTGTGGCCTGAAAGTTCTAAGAATGGCACTACCTGGTTTACCAAGAGAACATGATATATGTCTATAACAACATGGATGAACCTTGACATTTTGCTAAGCAATTTAAGCCACTTATTCACTGTTTCATGATTCCACTTATATAAGGTATCTAGAATAGTTGAATATAAAGAGACAGAAAGTAGAACAGTGGTTACCAGGGACTAGAGGGAGGGACAATGGCAAGGTGTTATTAAATGGATACGGGGTTTCAGTGCGGGATGACGAAAAAGTTCTGGAGGTGAATAATGTGATGGCTGCACAACAATGTAAACGTACTTGATACCACTGAACTGTACACTTAAGAAGGACTAAAATGGTTAATTTCATGTTACATGTATTTTACAATTTAAAAAAGTGTTTACAAATGAAAAATCCCCAGCCCTAATATGCTGCTCCTACACAGCAAAACATGAGAGCATCCCTCCCGCTGACATGCCCTTCCCCTCCCTCTTCCCCCCCCCAGGTATAACTTCCAAGGTCGCATCCAAACAGTTATTTTCTCTGTGATTCACTCCTGATCACCACAGCTGGAAATAATCGCATCTTCTTCTGTGCTATCAACTTTACCTATATCTCCCTTACTGTACAGAGCAGTTCCTCTTTAGATTGTGATCATGTACTTGAATAGCTCGACCCTACTCTTTCACTAGATGCAGCCTCCTAATGAACAGTACTCTGTGGAGTCCCCAAAGCCTTAGTACATACACAGGAGTCTCCACATATATACTACATACGCTATATTGAGAGTCTCTCAAGAAATGTCCACAGAAGATGTATGAATGACCTCAAGAGAACAAAAAAATACCTGTAGAATGAATTCCAAAGGGCTATTTTAAGTCTTCTATGTTAATGTAATATTGCTGACCTGAATATAGTTCCATAAATTAGGTTACTGTCTTGGATTTCTAAATCTTTTCAGAAAATTTCTATACTGATAGAATGTGACCCAATCAACTCTTGATTGCCATCAAGAAAAGAGAGAGAATGCAAAACAGGGAATCTCAAGATTAATTTGTCTTTATAATTTGGAAGAAAAATAATAAAGAGATACACTAACTCCCTTTACACCCCGCTCAGCCTCAGACCTGGCTGAGTGATTTAAAAAAAAGAAACTATAAATTATTATATTAAATCTAATCATGGAAGATCTAGACTTAATCTTGATAAGAAATTAAGATTATTTACATATTTTAGCTGAAAACACATTGTTTAGAAGAAAGAACACAAGCTTTGGAGTCAAAAAGACCTGAATTTGAATTCCAGCTCCAGGATACCTGAATGAAATCTCCCTTGTTATTTAGCCTTTCTGAGCTCCATGTCATCATCTGTAAAAGGGAATGAAAATATCCTCTCCATTTTCAGGAAGTTAAAGGATTAAATGGCTAATGAATGGCAAACACTCAACAAGTTTTACTGTTTCTCTTTTCCTTCCCCAGGAGCAGACCTAGTAGGCAGGTTAGTTTAAAATATTAAGTACATGTGTGCCTTCAATCTAAAAACCTCTAAGAGATAGAAATTGCTTGTTACAATTTGAAAGCTAGATGGAGACTTAGAAAAGTATCTAATCCACTATCCTCATTTTACTGAAAGAGAGATCAGTTTAGAGTTTAAGTGACATGGCTAAGTCACCAAGCTACACAGCCACAATGTCCCAAAGAGAAAACAGGTTTCCTGATTCGGAGTCTAGTATTCTTTGCACAACATGACACTGCTGTCCCTAAGCAGGCCAGTTACTCTTCTTTCTTCCCTCTGCTTAGAACTCATCCTATCCACAAACTACTACCAAATGTGCATTTCAGGGAAACCACTTACCTTTGATTCCTCGGTCCATTTTCATTAAACGCCTGATTATAGAATCGCGGTTATCTCCTTGCCTGATTTCAATTTT